TTTCGTCGCCACTTTCATGGTCCGTCTGGACCTCAGGCTCGACCACAGGCCGTTTGCCCTGATTCGGTGACACAGTATCAAAAGTCATCTTAGAAGTACACTCCCCACAGACGGCGCCAAATGTTTCGGGGTTTTTTGATGTGTCCTGCGGGAGAGTTACAATTCCAAGAATGCCCTTCGACGCCTGTGCCTGCAAAATCACGAAGACTCCTGGGGGTAGGAGCTCCGCCTCCGACGATCAAGTTAGTAAAGATACGGGAGGTAGAATGCACGTAATGTAGAAGTTACTTCTCGCGTAATGGGAGAATTCTGCAATTGATATTGCTCGGGGTAAATGTTTTTCTTTTTGAGGAGTATTCAATGTGAACAACAAATGTTCCAGCCCCCATTAATGAGGGTCCTTCCACTATTTATAGTGGGGAAGGGATGGTTTCCCTTTTAGGGTTTAGAGGACACGTGTCAGCAGAGGATTGGAGCCCTGCTGACCAACGGCTGGATGCCACGTGTCACTAGGCCATTGGGCCACGTGTTTAGGGTATTTTTACCCCAAACACCTACATCATTAGCTTACCTAGACTAAGAGTCACCATCATTTGACTCTTCTAAAAATAATATTTTTCCACACACTTAGCTCTTGTGGCCTAGCTTTAGTGTCACTATCACACACTGCACAGATACATGACCAAATATACTTCCCTTTAGGAACCCCTTGTCATGAAATCTTAACATAACGCTGAAGCATGCCATGTCATATCAAAATCACTCATCAATCATAATCATCATTGCATCATGAAGTATGAAGTGCTTAGCCTCCGTGCCTAAGTTACCCAAATACCTTCATCATTGAGTCAACAATTGAGATAGCCTAGGATGGGTTAGTCCTTCCACCTTGAGAGATAGTATGAAATGACATTTGACTAAGCTCATTCAATATGCATTCGAAAACTTCGCCTTTTCTTTTTCACGTCTTTCTTTTTTGGGAGAAAGTCGGTACCCTCCACAAAAATGACGGAAAATTTTTGCTTTTCTGCATTTTCGAGTCGCACGATCACATTACAATGCACACACGGGTCATGAGTCACACGTGTCTTTTCACTTCGAGTCGAGTCAACCTCGAGTCAGTCGATCACAGCGAGTCAAGTTTATACCTTGAGTCGTGTCGAGTCAATAAGTCAAGCAATGTTAAACCTTAGGTCAACCCTAAGATAATTAAAGAAATTGGCAAAGTTCTATAGTCAAAATAATATAGGTGCAGCAGAACAGGGAAGACCCTACTCCAGCGCCTGGCGCCAGAAATATCTCAGCAACGACAGAGCTCGAAGCCTCTCAGAAAGGTGATTTCGACCTCACGCAGCAATTTCGGGTTCCTTGGTACGCCAGTTAGCCCCTATAAGCAATTTGACATGATTAGTAGTCGGCTCGATTACAATCGTAGTAAGTGATTGACCTGACAAAAAATCGTCTCACTTAGCTTAAGCGCCTAAAACACTGGCTCATTACAATTGGTTCAAAAGCAAGCACTTAAACGACAATATTTCCAAATATGGATTGTCGCACATTCTTATTAAACGACAAGGTTTTCCAAAAATTGGATTGTCATCCCCAACTGACAATATTTCCAAAAATGGATTGTCGTGCATCTTCTTCAACGACAATTTTTCCAAGATTGGATTGTCATCTCTGGCAAAGTTTCCAAGCGTGGATTGTCGTGCTCCTCCTTTGTTTGTCAAGTTTTTCCAAGTTCGGATTGTCATACATTCATGAATCTTTGGCAAGTTTTCCGAGATTGGATTGTCATACACCCAGTTCCCTATAGAAAAATTTCCCAAAGGATTGTTGTAGGCTTCTATTCATCATAAATATCGGCAAAAGTTCCTCAACGTGGATTGTCATTCATTTCAGCAAGTGGCAAATTTTCCCGAAGTGGATTGTCGATCGACTCTTTTTTTTTGCAAATGTTCCAAGACGTGGGTTGTCAATAGTGGCAATATTTCCCCAAAAGGATTGTCGCATAGCGTTTGGCAAATTTCCAAGGTGGATTGCTTTCAAGAGTTGTATTCCAAGATGTGGATTGTCGATCGTAGCAAAGTTCTTATGGAAGATTGTTACGAAGCATTGGCAACTTTTCCAAAAATTGGATTTTGGCAAATTTTCCGAGGTACGGATTGTCGCTTCATCGTGGCAATATTTCCAAGGATGGATTGTTACGAAGCATTGACAACTTTCCCTAAATCGGATTGTCATACATCATACAAGAGTTGTGTTGGCAACTATTCCCAAAGAAAAGAGGATTGTCATCACAGCAAAAGCACCGACATACTGGTTCACAAGCAGCAAAGTACCGACGTACCGGGCATAGCAAACATTAAGAAGCAATGATCTTTTCGAAGACTATCACAGCGGAAATTAGAGTCATATCAAAAGAAGCTCTTTGTTCAGAGACGAGTGAACATCGAAACAGCAAGGTGGCGTTCCCTAGATTGTGGAGAGTTGTCACAAACAACTGAGGATTGTTTCAAGAGAAGCAATCTTCGATAGTATTCCCTTGGACGTGGAATGTTATCAATGCGGATGAGGATTGTTTCAAGAGAAATAATCTTCGATGGTATTCCCTTGGACGTGGAATATTATCATTGCGGAGGAGGATAGTTTCAGGCAAAGCAATCTTCTAATTTGGAAGCAGTTACAGGCGTAGCGGTTTTCAAGCGGGATGTCATTCTCTAGCTTGCAGGAGGTCATCAAAACAATCGGTTACTTTCAGAGACGTGTGCTCGACGGTGCAAGATATGCGTTTCTTAACTCTTCTATCTGTTTAACTAATGCTAGTTTTGCAGGTATCGGCGTTATAAGATTGATTTAGGATCGCAGAACGTTCTGAATCATTCTCCGTCCCTATCGATACTTTGACTTTCGTTTTTCGAAACTTGCGTTTCTCCAAACTCAGTCAAAGTAGGGGCTTCTGTAGACACCCATTTGTGTCTCCCCAAAACCAAACCCGGTGATGAGTACCTTTCACGTCGAATCGAATGAAACGAAGTGTGGAAAGGTCTAGTGTAGCGGAAAGTTTTATTTCTTTTCTCTTCTCCCTGTTTTTGAAAACTTTATTTTTAAGAAAACGGTCAATCTAGTTTGGTTGGTCCATGATATGGGTCCAATAGTAGTGTAGTTGAATGGGGCTTGCAAAGATCTTTCCAACGATATATTATAAGCCCGATTCCGATGAATATTGAGGAAGTTATGGCCAACTTACTAAAATGGGCCTGGTTTGAGCTTTATGTACGGCTCAATAATCTAGGGGAGGGCCTAATATGATTTATCATTCCTAATGCAATTAGGAATGGTTTTAGTCTTCTAGAATCTTCTAGAAGGATCTTTTCATTCCTAATTCAATTAGCATTGATAAGTTGACTTTGTTGACTTTTCAGAGTTTTAATCAAAATCAAATAGCATTTTCGAAGAAATTATATTATTTTATCCTCCAGTTCGGGAAATTTATCAGATTTTCGAAAACGCGTTGAAATCCAGTTTGGCGTCCAACCCCAAGCATTGGCGCCTGCAACCAGGCTTGGCGCCAGGCGCTAGCCATTGGCGCTTGGCGCCATGGCTGGCGCCAACTAGCCAGGGTTGGCGCCAACCTTGTTTTGCGTGCGTCAGACTCTGTTTTGTTAAATTATCTTTTTTGGCTAATTTTCTCTATAAATATCGTATCAAAAACTCCGTTTTCATGGACCAATTTTCAGGAATTCTCTTCATTCACAAGCTTTCATTCACAATTTATTCATCTACAATCATTCATCATCTACATCTCTCATTCATCAATTCTCAACAAACATTAATTCTTTAGCATTCTTTTCTTTCTTCAATTCTTTCTTGCGTTTTCATACAAAATTCCGCATTCACAAGATCTAGGAACACCTAGCCATATTCGAAGTTGCCTTCGCCCTAGACGTGAAAGGTTTAATTTCTGAGGGTTTGGTCCCAAATCTCTATTTCAATTATTTAATTTAATTATTTTGATTATTATTTTCCTTGAAGTTACTAACGTGTGTATTTTGTTATTAGAAAGAGGTACGAGGAATCAAAGTAAGTACTTTAATTGATTAATTGATATTATGATGTAGAAATCATGTTTATATTGTTATTATGATATTCCTAGTATCATGTCTAGGGTAATTTTAATATTAGATATGATTGTTGTGATGCTTCCTATGCTCTTCCTAATATTTATGATTGCTAGTATCATGTTAGGGTTAAAGATTTGATTTTTATTGCTTAGTGACATGCTAGGGTTTGTTATTAATCTTGTTAGTATCATGCCTAGGATCTTGCTATTTTTATTATGCTTTAATATTAACATGAACATGATTATGATTATAATTGTTATAATTTATTATTATTTTGATGATGATGATGATTATTATTATTATTATTATTATGATATGATTATTATTATTCTTCATGATTATTATTGATTATGTTGCTTGATACATTATTTATTCGTTATTGCTTGATCACACCTTTGATGCATGTTTAAAGGGAATTTTGTACTTGTAATCACGCTTAATAAGATATTTAATAATCTTGTTAGGGTTAATTGTGATTATAAATTCAAGTGATCGCCAATAATAGTTTATTTGTGCATTAAATTCAACCAACATAGATAAACAGGTTTAGGGTTAATCCTATTGATTGCATGTTAATTAAAAAGCGCACATGAATACGATCAGAATAAAGTAGAGGCTTATTATTAGGGCATGTTCAATCTCTTTTAGGTTGGATTTGTATCTTCATCCCCCACTACTACAAAGTTGGCCTAATGTAACACCTTGTGGTAACACTTTATAAGTCAAGATATAAAAAGATATATAAGTAACACTTTGATAACACTTAGATTATCAGTAGCACTTGTATATAACACATATGTAATTTGTAACACTTCAAAGTATCACTTTACATAGAGTAACACATTTATGTAACACTTTGATTATTATATACCTCAAAAAATAAGACCCTAATTGTTTAACTTTCCTTTCACTTTTTCTATTAGCTCTTTCTCTCTCATCTCTTTCACATTTCCCTCTTTTCCCCATCCATCTTTGCGATTCACACTTACCATTTTCTTCATCAATGGAGATTGGAGAAGCTCAAAATCTCTCTGAAATTTTACCCCAATCTTAACCTCCTCACCAAACTCTAGCTTCTTAACAAGAACTCAACGACAAAATTGTAACCCTAGGTCCGACTCAATTTAACCATCAAACCACGAGAAGATGACCGCTCGGTTGAAGGAGATTAATTCGGCGGCAAAGAAGAGATGACGAGTCGCAGAAAACGCCGTCTTCAGTCGATAGAGGTGCTGCTGCCAGAAATCCCTCATCTCTACTCATTTTTCGCTTAATTGATCCTAATTTTCATTCTCACTCTTCAATTTCCACAATTAGTAGCAAAATTATTGTCTGAACAACATTATTTCTTCTAGTAAGCTCAAATCCGTCGAATTTTATCGGTTAGATGTCTTCTCTTGCTCTAATTGTGTTTGGAATTTGATAATTTTTGACTTTTTGATTAATTGTTTTGCGATTCGCATTTTTGAAATAAACTAATTTGTAATGTGTTTGATTGTAATTTCTCAGCATTCAATGTTGTTCTTTGTGCTCTGTATTGTGACATTTCCTAGCTCAATCGGGCTTGAATTTTTTATTTTATTTTATTTTTGTTTTTATTTTGTAGCATTATGAGTATTGTAGAGGAAATTGTTTAAGAATGTTTAATATTTGAGCATTTGAGTGGATGTATTCTTGATTTCATCATAATACAACTACTAAATGATATGATGAGGCTGTGAAATTTTGTTTGAATTTGGTTTGTGAAATAAAAGGCAGATTACTTTTTATATGTTTATTGTTGTTGTTAATTGGATATTTTTGTTTGTGTAGTTGAATTGAAAATTACTATATGACTACTACTATGGGATTTGGGGAAAGATGACTAGATAAGAACAAAAAGAAGCTAAGCTATTTAGTACGAAGTATTGTTTGCTTGTTTTTTGAGAGTATCCGAAGCAGCTTGTTGCTCTTCGTGTCCGTTAGTTTAATGGACAATTATCCTTCTAGCGAAGAACTGATCATCAAGGTGCTTTTGTTTTGCCCCTCTTATTTTTATTTATTTTCTTAGTTCAAGTCTTTTTACATTTATTTAAGAGCTCAATTTTTGTTCAGATTGCGTTGGAGTAGTGATTATATTGATATTATAGTATGACTTTTAACGCTACAATCAATAGTCATGATGTATCTTTGCCAAATATCTTATGTTAAGTGCTATTTTTCTAATTTATGCATTATGTATTATGGAGAACTTATGTATTTCTTTTGAGTGTGTACTGTATTGGTCATGAAACTTGCATGCTCGGGCATAAATGTTCTTAGAAGCACTAGTCACATATTTATTTGAGTTTAAAATGTTTTGTGTTGCTGTTGAACTTAACAATTTTCTTTGCCAATAGATCAAATCTATTAAACCAAAATCTACTGAAGCACTTTTTGCTAGAAGATAGCAGTGAACCACCCTCCTGTTGAGAATAGTGAGGCTCCAGCTTATGAAAGCTCCGAAAATCCGACGATTTAGCAAGGTTGACGATTATTGAAGGTACATGACTCTCCACCAAAATCAATTATTATACTTCAGATTTTGTAGAATTAATAAAATGTTTTTAGAGTTGATGATTTATGTAATTTAATTGATGCATGTGTAAGCTTGTATTGATTTAATTCAGAACCTTAATTAGGATAAATAGTTGTTGAATTTTGGCTGTAGGTTGTATGTAGGTTGCCGGATCGATGTCGAGTTTGACTGGGCTTGGTTTTGGATAAATGTTTATTGAATGAGTTTGGCTCTGTTTGGGGGGGGGGGGGAATACAAAATAATATCAGCTAGAATCAGTTAAACTTTGTAAAATGCGGTTATCAGCAAATAAAAAAAAAAAATCAAATTTTAGTGTGTGAAATTTGTTTTAATCTATAAAATTATAATAGAGAAGAACAAGGCCATAATGCCACATGCCATGATGATGACCTTTAACTATGAATGGATCGAATTAAATATTTTGCTCTTGTACTCTGCAGGATCAGGAAAAAATCAGGAGGAAGAAAGTTCTAGCTGCAAATACAGAAGATATTGTTCATGTTGAGTCTAGTTCAGCTGTTCAATCCCGGTTTGTAAACATGAAAATGGTCTTAAAACACCGAAAACAACACTTAAATCAAGGATTGCAAAGGAGAGAATCAACAAAAAGAAAATTCCAATTGGGAATGGATTTGGATATGATGCTGACGACACAACAACAGATTGGAGCACGTGTCGACCAACATCATGTTAAAGTAGGACAACAATCTAAGAGGAAGTTAGTCTCTTCTATATCTAAAAAATCCCAAGTGAGATTAGGCAAGTCTACTGCACAGAAAAAATATCAATCCAGTCTGCAAGAGATTGGGAATGGTGTCCAAACTAAGAGAGGGTAGAGTAAGGCAATGGTGTTTTGCTGTTGTTACTGCTTTTTTTTTTTTTTTTTTTTTTTTGCTTATTCTGCTGTTTCTGCTGCTGCTATTTGCTGGTGCTACTACTGTATGCTGCTGATCCTCTGTCTTTTTCCTACTGTCTTCTTCTATTGCTGTAATCTGGTATTAATGTCTGCTTTTATCGGTAGCCGATGTGTTCGCTAGCTATGCTGCTATTATAACTGTTGTTTCCTACAACCGCGCTGATTTTTAAAGAAATTGGAGGTCTAGAAGAGACCGAAGTTCACTTTCTTTTTATTTTGATTATTAGACTGTTTAGCTAATAAAAAAAATTGGTGTTTATGGATATTTTTTGTAAGAACTATGAAATTAATTATTTTAATTCAAATTATTATATGGAGTATGTTGTATATGTTAATTTCTTATAGTTGTTGTTGTACTTATATATATATATATATATATATATATATATATATATATATATATATATATATATATATATATATATATATAAGTACAATAGTTTGCAAAAGGTGATACATATGTCAAATAAAATGCTACTAAATGTCAAATGATAATTGAAAAAATATTACATAATATTCAACAAAGTGTTATATTAGTTCTAGAAAGTGATACATAATGTCGAATAAAGTGATACCATATGATTAAAAAATGTTACTTAAGACAAGTAAGTGATACATAAGGTTTAAAAAGTAACACTTTGAAAATGATACTAATAATATAAAAAGTGTTACATAAGAGGGTTTATAGTAACACTTTCAAAAGTGTTACCATACATTATCTAAAGTGTTACATAAGACCTTAGGTAGCATGTGCGGAAGTATCACCCAGTAAAGTGTTACCTATTGTCTATAATAACACTTTTACCATTTTATGTAACATTTTTTGGGTGTTACTTGAGGTTAGTTTTGTACTAGTGCCGGAACCCTTATTTGGTTCATGACCTTATGGAGTTGACGATCTCTTGGATCGTTAAGGGGTGTAACCTTCATCCTATGAACGGTTTACAAGTTCCTTAAAAATTTGTTGGCGACTCTTTTGCTCTATCTTCTTCCCTTTTGGACGCCACCGTACTTTAGTGTATGATCACAGTGGGGTTCGAGCTAGTGGGATTTAAGGCTTGAAATTATTCCCTACAACAGTCCTACAAAGCGAAAGCTTCGATCCCTCGAAACTAATCACTCCAGCTGAAGGATCACTACAAGGGTGGCGCAAAACTATCAAGGTGACTACTCCAAGCGGAAGAAAAATATCCATCACAACAGGGCAAAGACCAATGTTTAAAGAATCGTCAGAGTCAGAGTCTGAGTCGGAGTCTCTCCCTATAGAGTCTTCTAGGTCTTTAGTAGTAGCACCTTCCCTTCCTATTTCTTCTCCTAGAATAGTTAGTGATCAAGTCCCTGAGGACATATCACTCTTTGATGTAATGATCTCAGAGTATAATAATATTTCTCCTTCTCCTTATTTCTTGTGTTCTTCTCTAACCAAAGATGACGAGCATTGCTTAACTAACAATGAAAAAGACAAAGAACTTATTAAAGCAATGGAAACACTCGAAAAGAAAACACCGGTAATTGAAGAAACTGAAACGGTTGATATCTCAAATGATTCAACCAATAAAAGAGAAGTTAAAATCGGACTAACACTTAACGAACAAGAAAGAACCGATTTAATTAACTTACTTAAAGAATTTATCGATGTAATCGCTTGGTCATACGAAGATATGCCAGGCATTAATAGAGAAATAGCTCAACACACTATACCACTAATTCCAGGAATGAAACCTGTAAAACAAAAGTTACGTCGAATGAAACCCGACGTACCTCTTAAAATAAAAGAAGAAGTCCAAAAACAAATAACTGCAGGTTTCATCAAGGTATCTAAATACCCCGAATGGGTCGCCAACGTCGTCCCATTTCCGAAAAAAGACAGAAGGGTAAGAATATGTGTCGTCTATCGAGATCTAAATAAGGCAAGTCCAAAGGACGACTTCCCTTTACCACACATCAACATTCTGGTAGAAAACACGGCAAATCACCCGCTCCTCTCGCTCATAGACGGATATGCAGGTTAAAATCAGATTCTCATGACAGAAGAAGACATGGAGAAAACAACTTTTATAACACCATGGGGCACTTACTGCTACACGGTAATGCCATTCGGGTTGAAAAACGCTGGTGCTACTTACCAACGTGCAGCAACTGCCTTACTCCATGACATGATGCATAAAGAAGTCGAAGTATATGTCGACGACATGATTGTAAAATCAAAAGACCGTCCAGGCCATCAAGTAGCCTTAAGGAAATTCTTCGAAAGGCTAAGAAAATATAATATGAGGTTGAACCCGTCTAAGTGTGCTTTTGGAGTCACCTCAGGCAAGCTTTTGGGTTATGTCATAAGATCTAGAGGAATAGAGATAGACCCAACCAAAATCAAAGCGATCATGACGATGCCACTGCCCAAAACCGAGAAACAGATTCGAGGATTTATTGGCCGGTTGCAATACATAAGTAGGTTCATATCAAAATTGACGACAATATGCGAACCAATCTTCAAAAAGCTCAAGAAGAATGTACCAGTAATATGGGATGACGAGTGCCAAAAAGCCTTTGAAAAGATCAAAGCCTATCTCGTAAATCCTCCCGTATTAGCACCGGCACTTCCCGGAATACCTCTTAGGTTATATTTGACGGTTACCAAAGAAACAATGGGAGCTATGCTAGCACAAGAAGTAGAAGGAAAAGAAAAAGCAATCTACTATTTAAGCAAGAAGATGCTCGAATACGAAGCACGCTATACACCACTCGAGAAGTTGTGCCTCGCCTTGGTATGGGCCACAACCAAGTTAAGACATTGCATGCTAGTGCATACCGTCTTCATAGTCTCCCGATTAGATCCACTCAAGTATCTATTTGATAAATCTACACTCAATGGACGCATATTGAGATGGATAGTCAATCTAGCCCAGTTTGATGTAAGGTTTATGCCACAAAAAGCTATCAAAGGATTCGTGGTGTCAGACTTTCTAGCAGACTTCCCAATAGAAGACTCAACGCCAATATAAGACAATGAATTTCCAGATGAAGACTTAATGGTCACTGAAGATGATACCTGGACCTTATACTTCGACGGAGCCTCAAACCAAAAGGAATGTGGCGTTGGAGTATTACTAGTATCACCTAAAGAAGAGCATGTTCCAATCTCCATAAAGCTTGATTTCGACGTAACCAACAATGCTGTTGAATATGAAGCATGCGTGGGAGGCCTTGAAACAGCTTTGGCATTGGGAGTAAAAAAGTTAAGGATATTCAGAGACTCTTCTTTAATTATCAATCAAATATATAAAAGGTGGAAAGTAAGGAGCGAAAGTCTAGCCCCTTACCAAACCTATCTGGAAACTCTCACCGATCAGTTAGAGAAGGTAGAATACACATAGCTACATAGGGAATAAAATCAATTTGCTGATGCCTTGTCAAGACTAGCCTCAATGGTTAGGATTCCCACGAAAATCGAGCAAATGCCTCTAACTATAGAAAAAAGGCAAAAACCAGCATACATCCAGGCTATAGAAGACGACGAAGTAGTCCAAGACAAAGAAGAAGAAGAAGAAGAAGAACCGTGGTACACGGATATACTCAATTATGTCACCAAAGGAAAATACCCTCTCCACGCTGACAAAAGAGAAAAACGAGCATTAAGACTCTTAGCTTCCCAATATGTACTCATAGGCAACGAGATACATAAAAGGGTACCTAAGGGTCAAGCTCTCTTATGCGTAGGAAAAAAGGATGCATAAAGTGCAATGAGAATAGTCCACGAAGGAATCTGTGACACTCATATAAATGGCAAAATGTTAGTCCAAAAAATAATGCGAGAAGGATATTATTGGACTACAATGAATAGGGATTGCCATCAATATGTAAAAAGATGCCCTAAGTGCCAAATCTATGCCAATTTACAACATGTTCCTCCATCCTTACTCTACACCTATACGTCGCCATGGCCATTCTCTAAGTGGGAAATTGACATCATCGGCAAAATCACTCCCCCAGGAACAGGAGGCCACGAATATATATTAGTAGCAATTGATTACTTCACGAAGTGGGTCGAAGCGCAATCATACGCTAAACTCACTGCAAAACATGTATCACTCTTTATCGAGAGGAATATTATTTGTCGATATGGAGTCCCACATGAAATGATAAGTGACAATGGAACTCACTTTCAAGCCGAATGTGAAGAATTGTTACAAAAATATAGCATTCAACATCATGATTCTTCCCCTTACAGACCTCAAGCAAATGGAGCAGTCGAGGCAGCTAATAAAAATCTAAAGACTATCATCGAGAAAATGACGGAAAATTATAAAGATTGGCCTGACAAACTTCACTTCGCATTGTGGGGTTACCGCACGTCAATCCGTACGTCAACGGGAAATACGCCATTTTCCTTAGTATATGGAATGGATGTCGTACAACCTGTCGAACTAGAAATTCCATCTCTACACATCGCGTTAGAGAGAAAACTCGATGAAGTTGAATGGACTAGGGCAAGATATGAAGAACTAATTTTACTCGATGAAAAACGACTAGAAGCTCTACATCACACTCAGTGTTATCAAACTCGTATGGCTAGGCATTTTAAGAAGGTCAAGACAAGAAACATCAAAGTAGGAGACTTGGTGTTAAAAGCATTAAGGAAAAATGTTTTAGATCCAAGGGAAAATTTAGACCTAATTGGTCTGGACCCTACATTGACAAAACAATCCTGTCAGGAGGTGCACCAAAACTATCTGATATGGATGGCAATGAGTTCTCGAACATGACAAATTTTGACTAACTTAAGAAGTACTACCCATAATTACTTGAGTAGGATACTCAAGAGAGCTACGTTTGGCCTGATTCCTTAAGAAAGGATACGTAGGCAACCCTTTACGGGTGCGGCCACTTTATTTTTCGACATTCTCGCGTCCAAGAATTAATTAAAAATTCGATAGAAGATCGGCGAAATATCGGCGTCGCAGAGAAAACTCTGGCGCCAGCCAACGACCGTCAGCGCCAGTCGACGACACTGTCGCCTGACGCCAGACTACTGTGGCCGGCGCCAGTCGCAGATAAGCGGCGCCAATTCACAGCTATATTCTGGGCATATTTCGGTGTTTTTCGAAAAATTTTCGACTTCCGTACTAGAAGAATTTCTGGAAAATTAATTTTTTTTCGGTTTTCATTGCTTTAATAAAACAAATTTAAAGTAAATAATTAATTAAAAGC